TTGCTTCCCTTCAGGTTATATGTGTTTGAAAAGGAGAGATGTCTGCAGTTAAGATCTGTCCCAGTAGGGGTGGGGATGGTTGGTTGGTCTTTGAATTTTGGCTTTTAGAATAATGAGCAACTCGGCCGGGCATGGTGGCTTACACTATAACCCCAGCACTTTCGAAGGCTGAGGTGAGCTGATCACTGGAAGCCTGGCCAACGTGGTGAAATCCTATTTCAGAAAAAGAAAAAAAAAAAGAGTAATGAGCATCTTTTCCATTTGGATTCTCAGCATAGAAGATGTAAATATCAGTCAAAACTTGAAGCTGGGCACTGTGGCTCATGCCTGTAATCCCAGTACTTTGGGAGACTGAGATGGGTGGATCACTGGAGGTCAGGAGTTCAAGACCAGCCTGTACAACATGGTGAAACCCTGTCTCTACCAAAAATACAAAAATTATCCAAGTGTGGTAGCGCATACCTGTAATCCCAGCTACCTGGGAGGCTGAGGCACGAGAGTCATTTGAACCAGGGAGGTGGAGGTTGCAGTGACTCAAGATTGTACCACTGCACTCCAGCCTGGGTGATAGAGCAAGACTCTGTCTCAAAAAATAAAAACAAAACCTTGAGCAGTCATTCAACAGAGATGTAGTAGAATGCTTGAGGCGGAAAGGTATAGCACTTTCCATAACATGGTTTATTTACTTTGATAATCTTTGGAAATGTTGGACTTGGTTTTTGTGATTAAAAGACTCTGAATCTTTATTCTGAGCTGCTAGATTAATCTGTTTATTCCAGATAACAATGCAGGGAAATGGTATATACACAAAAATCAGTATTACTAGTAGCATTACTGCCAAGTGAGTAGGAAACAGTAATTCTGTTATCTTGTTAGAATTTATGGGGAAGATGGGTTAGATTTTTTAATTAAATAATTTTTTTTTTCCTTTGTGAGACAAGTCTGGCTTTATTACCCAGGCTGGAGTACAATGGCATCATCTCTGCTCACCGCAACCTCTACATCCCAGGTTCAAACTATTCTCCTAACTATGTTCAAACTATGTCTCAGTCTTCCGAATAGCTGGCATTACAGGCATGTGCCACTATGCCTAGCTACTTTATATATATATATAGTTTTTTTTTTTTTTTTTTCCGACAGTTTCGCTCTTGTTGCACAGGCTGGGGTGTAATGGTGCAATCTCGGCTCACCGCAGCCTCAGCCTCCCAGATTCAAGCCATTCTCCTGCCTCAGCATCCTGAGTAGCTGGGATTACAGGCACCTGCCTGGCTCATTTTTAGTATTTTTAGTAGGGACGGGGTTTCTCCATGGTGGTAAGGATGGTCTCGAACTCCCGACTTCAGGTGATCCACCCACCTCGGCCTCCCAGAGTGCTGGGGACTACAGGCATGAGCCACCGTGCCCGGCCTGTATATATGTGTTTTTAGTAGAGACAAGGTTTTGCCATGTTGACAAGGCTGGTCTTGAATTTGTGACCTCAAGTAATCCACCTACCTCAGCCTCCTAAAGTGCTGGGATTATAGGCATGAACCATTGCTCTCAGCCTATAGAAAATACTCTTTATAGAAGAGTATACTTTATAAAAAAGAAAATAAAAAAGGAAAGAGTATTTTCTTTATAAAAAAGAAAATACTCTTTATAAAATTTACATACCATACATTCCATCAATTTAGTGTACAATTGAATGGTTTTTAATATACTTATCAAGTTGTGCAGTCATTACCACAATCAATTTTAGAACATTTTCCTCACCTCAGAAGTATACCTTACCTTTAACTATCATTTTACCAATTCTTTCCTCCTTCCACCTCAACCCTAAGCAACCAATAATCACCTTTCTATTTCTGTAGAGCTCAAGCAGATTTTTCTGTTCTGGACATTTCCTGTAAATGGAATTGTATAATATGTGGTCTTTTATGACTCTTCTCTTAATGATTTGGGTTCCTCCTCACCTTTACTCTGAAGGGATTAACTTAAATGTTCATGTTGTAGCACGTATCAGTACTTCATTATATTATATTGCTATAAAAAGGAAT